ATTTTTTGTATTTTTAGTAGAGACGGGGTTTCACCGTGTTGACCAGGATGGTCTCGATCTCTTGACCTCGTGATCCACCTGCCTTGGCCTCCCAAAGTGCTGGGATTACAGGCTTGAGCCACCGCGCCTGGCAACTTTTCTATTTTAAGAACATAAGCCCTCATGGTAATAAAGAGCTAAAAATTCTGCTTTTTTTTAAAAAAAGTTTTCATTAACAATAGAACTTTTGCAGGCCAGGAGACCCATCATGCTCTTTGGAGACCACGAAATGCTTTTCCTTCTCCGGAAACCACGTGAAGGCCCATTACTTCTAGCACAGCTACGGTGCTGCCCAAAGACTTTCTGATCCACTCCAACGGAGTTGGCAACTCTCCCCCATTAGCTAACAATAAAAGAAAATTAAATCACTTGAGAGCCCTACAGTGGCAGCAAAATAGAACCCAAGAGATATCCTGCTAGCATGTTCAAAGACTTATTTAAAGCCACTTTGGGCCAGGCGTGGTGGCTCATGCCTATAATCCCAACACTTTGAGAGGTTGAGGTGGGAGGACTGCTTGAGGCCAGGAGTTTGAGACCCGCGTAGGCAACACAGTGAGACCTCGGCTCTACAAAAGACTGTATAAAAATTAGCCAGGTGTGGTGGTGCGCACCTGAGTCCCAGCTACTCCAGAAGCTGTGGTGGGAAGACAGCTTGAACCCAGGAGTTTGAGGCTACAGTGAGCCATGATTGCACCATGGTACTCCAGCCTGGGTGACAGGGCAAGACTCTGCCTCCAAAAAAATAAATAAATAATGAAAACAAAATGCAATCACTTTGGATCAGTCTCACTGGATGGCTCGATGACAGTAAAAACGGTTAGGACTTTTCTGAATGTGCATATGTATATATACACATGACTAAGAAGTTGAAGTGAACCCCTCAATGACCAGCCATTTTATAGTAGAACCTAGAAATTATCAACTTCTTTCAACATGGTGGATCCTGCATGTTTCATACCCTACACTTAGAAATCCATACTCTGAGACAAACAGGACTACCACAAGAGAATGACCACGCCTCCAGAATAGCACCTAGGCAACCATCAGGAGTTACAGCCAAACTTACATTTTAATGTGGAAAGGGACTCACTCTGCTTCTGTAAAGCCACCAATGTCAGTGACATTATGAGTATAAGCAGCCCACCAATGCAGGTCAGACTTTAGTACACAGAACCAGATTCCATTTGAGCGCTACAGCTAGCACAGCTGTAAACCTCTCCACCCATCAAATTCTGAGATGATTAGGCCTGGCGCGGTGGCTCATGCCTGTAGCCCCAGCACTTCGGGAAGCCAAGCTGGGAGGATCATTTGAGCCCAGGAGTCCAAGACTGCACTGAGCTATGATCTCGCCACTGCACTCCAGCCTGGGTGACAGAATGAGACCCTGTCTCAAAAGAAAAAAAAAATCTGAGGCAATTAAAGGCAGAGAACTATAAGTGAGTAACCCCACAGGAACTCCCCCACTCTCCATTTAGATGTTGGCTTTTGTGCACATGATCTCATGAGACCCTCACAATGACTCTGAGAGGTAAGCAGGACAGGTGTCATCTCCATTTTACAGATGAATAAACCGTGACTCTGAGGTTAAATGACTCACTTGCCCAAGGTCACAGGTCATGTAGCTAATCAGCCACCTAACCAGGAGACAGCATTCTGACTCGTGGTCCAGCGCAATCTCCAGAACACCACTCAGGTTCCTGATGTTTTCAGAAAAGAGGCAGAAGAGGGAACTGGTTAAGAGCTCACGTTCTGACACAAACAGACCTGCATTCTGGTCCCATCTCCACCACCAACTAACTGCCTGATCTTGTGTGAGTTCCTTAACTGCCCCCAAACCTGTTTCCTTACCTGTACGATGGGGGTGAGGGAGAACAGTCTTACTGCACAGAGTTATAGTGATGATTAAGTGAGATGATGGACATAAAGTACTCAAATTCATGTACTCGAAACACATGAGTGTCAGGCACAGTGCAAGACCTACAACAAGGATCAAGGAACACTACAGCTCTCATGGAGCTTAGACTTTAGGCAAACTATACATAGAAAAAAGTAAACATAAATATTTACAAAGTGTATTCAGAATAATTAAGGTAACAAGTGAGTGACTGGAAAGAATAACAGGAGGGCCCAAGTTTTAAGAGTAGTTCCTGAGCCCTAAGGGATCAGGAAGAGAAATTCCTGTGAAGAGTGGACAGAAAAGCATTCCAGGCATAGGGAATGGGATATTTGGGGGTCACAGCACAGGGAAGCCAGGAACCTCGAGAAGACAAAGGTGACTACAGCACTTCCTCTCCCAGGATTTGGGGAGCAAGGCTGGCACTCATGAGGATGATCACAGCTATTTAAAAAACAACAAAGATGAGGCTTGAGAGAGGGGATATGTCTTGCCCAAGGTCACAGCTGCTCAGAGGAGGCGCTGGGACCAGGACCCTTTAGTATTCTACCTCCATACTCAGCCTACGCCCATGCTCTCTGAGAAGGCCTCGTATACACGGAACTCCCCCACGTATTTCACTGACAACTGTTTTCTGTGCCCATGAAGAGTTGCAAGAACACCTTGAAAACACAAGCAAAAGCATCACATATCAACTTCCAGGCATCTAATCAATTGTGCACTGAAATCCTTACCCTTCTAATCTTACAACACAAGAGCAAAAGCTGCTTAGACCTTACTCAAAGGCTCCAAAGCAAAAACAAGTTTTGCTTCTTGCAATAATGAAGAAGAGAGGAAACAGACATCCTGGAAGACCCCATGGTCTGTTCCAGGTGAGATGGAACCACTGCTGCACATGAAGGCTCATCTCAAATGAACTGTACTGAAAAAGCTCATTACTTTATCGAATAATAGAATAAATCCCTAAAAGCAGCGGTTCTTAATCAGAGTGGTACCACCCACACCCCAAAGGGCATTTGGGAGTTCTTGGGGACATTGTGGGGTGACACACTGAACTGCTGGATGCTGTCGGCATTTAGTAGGGGGGGCCAGGTATGCTCAATGTCTTGCAGAAGGACATGATGGTCCTACACAGTAAGAAATGGATTACCTACAATATTAATAGCAGCCACCCATACACACTTTCAACACTCTCCCTAAAGGATTAACATGCTCCAACTTTCGTGTATCCCCACAGGTCAGTGGCTCTCCCTACCCTTACCATAACCAGATGAAAGAACTTAAGATTTCACAGCTTAGGAGTGAAATTTTGGAATCCAATTATAAGCTCATAACTCTAGCATGGAACCTGGTGGCAGCATAAGAATAAATAAATTTTTAGTAAGAGAGAGACTTAAGAAATTTTAGCAAAAAAAGAACCCCCTTTCTTCCTCCCTACATATCTCATATGTTTTTCAACACACAAAATTCTGTAATTTCAGAGACACTTCTTATAGTGCTTTTCAGTTCAAAACCAGATACTCATTACAGTTCTTTCAAACACTTAACCAGTCATCTCAGAAATATGGCTAACTCTCTGGACTAAATTTCATAGGAATGATTATTAATTTCAAAATGCCTAATTCTGATCAAATGCCTCAAAGAGCCAAAGGCAATCAAGTCTCGCATCTCATTCAGGGCAGAGTTCGATGAGGTCAGAAAAGCTCCAATGACATTCAGAAGTCTGTTCAGAGATTAAAATATCCTATCAATTCACAAGCTACTTCTAATTGTTACCCTAAATTAATCACTAATACAGCTTCTCCCCCAACACTATTTCACAAATTAAAGTTTACAGAATTAACAAAAAACCAAACCAAATGAAAACAAACCCCAGGCTATTTGTGGGGGACTGGGGAGATAACCCAAAAGTCAACCCTGTTTCACAGTGGCTACAACAGTGGTCCAACTGATATTATCCTCCATAAAGTACCCTAAAGGCAGGAGAAATCTTTCCCCCACACAGTATCTAAATTTTCCCAACTCGCCCAAAAGAATTTCAAGATATAACTTCTTCACTCAACTTGCCAATTAGCAAATAGCGGCCCCACACCCCTTTTGACCAATTTTCTAGAAGCCTGACCTAGCAGGCAGACCTGTTTTCCTCCTGCCAGGTCTTTTCTGCCCTGCCAGTAGGAATCTGGGAAATCCCCCTCCAACCTTTCGCTGGCTTGCCACCAGAAGTTCATAAAATGAATTCATTCAGATTCCTTGAATCCTCCTTTTCCCCAGTCATGTGCCAACAATCAGGCAATAATGCCCCACCTTGACCGGTTCCCCATTACAAAAAGATGAGGATTCACAGGAAGACCAAGCACTTAGCATGAAGGAGAAGAAAAAAGATGGAGGGAGGTGAGAGTCGTGGAGCCAAGCCTGCTGCATGCAGCACGAGTGACCGGAGCCCTGGTCCTGCAAAGCCCCCGCAAGCTTGGCTGGCTGGGCCTTCCATACAGCAGCCACACCTGTCTATGCCAGCCGCTTGCCGACTGCTCCATTTTAAACATTTCAAACAGATCTCCAGCAGGGTGGCAAAACTGGGCACCTCTCTCTCCCAGCAAGAGTGAGAGCCCTAATCCAGGCATCACTTGCCCCTAATTTTATTTCATTTTCACACTCTGTTTAGGAGACACTGCTTGCTCCAACTGGCACCATCTCTCCGTTACCAGTGAGGCAGGCACAGTGCTGCAGTGGCAGAATGGAAGCACCCAGGCTGACTTGCTATCAGCCAGACAAGACCTCTTCACTGAGGGTGATGACAATAAATGGGACTCCAATAGGCAGCAGGCTTCGCTCTGCCCTTCCACAAGTGAACACATGCCGGGAGTCCTAAAACGCCGGGCTCCGCAGCCTTGCAGAAAGCCTCGCTTCCGGAAGGTAGGTATCCCATTCATCCCTTGGCATCGGGAACCACAGGGAAGGCAGGCAGATCCCGGTCGTGCACTACATTCCCAAACCTTGGCACGCACGCGAAGGCTTGGGGCGCCCTGGCGCGCCCTCCCTCCGAGGCCTCCACCACCCGCGGACTCACCACTGTGCGAGCTGAACCACCTGGGTCCGATGTGCAGAGGTAGAGCATCCGCCAGCGAGGCTCGGGAGCCCAGGTACAGCATCCCGTCTCTATGGTGACCGCCGCCCGTCTCCTGGTAACCATTGCCATGAGCATAGGTGGAGTCGGACGTGGACCCTCCGCCGCCGGGAGCCCTCTCGGAGTCGCCGGTGCCCCGGGAGGCGGGGGTGTAGAGGCCAAAGGGCACCCCCCCGGCCGTGCTGGGGTCCATGCCCATGCCCGCCACCGAGCTGACCGAGCGGCTGCGCAGCCCCATGGCCCCGCCGCCCGTCCGGTAGTGCCCGAAATGGGGCGCCCCTCCCGGCGGCGGCACGGCGCTGTCATCGGTGGAGACCCCCGGGAAGGGTCCCCGGGAGCGGGCCGCCGTGCTCTGCTTGCCCCCCATGCTCGCCCGAGCCCCGGTGGGGCGGGAACCTGGAGGCCGAGACCCTCCCCCACTTCTCAGCAGCGGGGGGAGGGCTGGGCGAGCATAAAGGGGGAGGGAGTCAAAAAGGAGATCCGGAGGGAGAAAAGGGAAAAAAGCAAAAGAAAAAAGGAAAAAACCGCGGGGCGGAAGAGGCGGGCGGGCGGGGATCCCAAACTCAGAATTTCAAACGATCCAAACCAAATGCATGTTTCCCCTCAAGGTCCAAAGAGGCGCAGTCCGGCGCGGGCTCCGCGCGCCACAGGCCGCCCCCGGGCTCCGAAAGCCAGGGGGAGCCGCAGGGAAGGAGGGAGGGAGGCGACTGCGAGTGGCGGGCGGGCGCGGGGAGGCGCCGGAGGAGGCCGCCAGCCCCGCGGCAGGAGGCGGAGGAGGGCCGGGGGCGCCAGGCGCGTCCCCCGCCTCAGGACGCCGCGACCATGGACCGCGGCCCGGACCTCTCCAGGCCTCGGGCTGGCCGCGGCGCTGGGCGGCCGGGCGCAGCACGGGAAGCCGCGGTCGCGTCGCGTCGCGTCGCGTCGCGCTCTCGCTCCAGCCGCCGCCGGCCCGGCCAGCCGCGCCGCCCAGCTCGGTCCCGGGCTGAGCTCGCCGGCGCTCCTCGCCGCCGTGGAGACAATGGAGGGCGGTAGAGCGCAGGCGCGACCCGCGCCTCCCCCTCCCGCCGCCGGGTTAACCCTTTCGCGGCCCCTGCGGCGCCCCAGCCGCTGACGCCCTAGCGGTCCCACCCACTGCCCGCCCCCGGCCGGCCTGTGACCTGGGCGGCCTGAGCCACTGGGCGTTAGCCACAGAAACCAGCCGTCTTTAAAAAGCAAACCCTTCTTAAGTCCCAGAAAGTGGCTAATTATTCAAGGGGAACCGCGTATGGGGGAGGAGCAGCAATGGTTCGAGGGGTGGGAAGGAAACACCGGGAAGAAGGAGATTTACTCCTTACGCGTACCTGACTCTGAGGGTTACCGCTTGAGCTCCCCTCCTGGCACAAATTTGCCCCCACAGCACCCTCTGGTGGACGTGCTGTCCATTCTTTCGGGGGTTCCCCATCCGAGCACCCCTCTCGTTCGGAATCTCAACATTTGGCGGGGTTTAGCTGTTTGGGGGTAAATAGCCCCATAGGGACCGTTGTGAATTCGGGGTTTTGCTGACCCTAGGTCAGAACTTCCTATTTGGGGCTTAAGCAAATGAGTAGATTTCTTAACTAAAATGTAATTTTCAAAATCAATAGGCGTACCATAAAAAGTGAATAGAATGGAAATTCAACAATGCAGCTAAAAGTGATTATAGAAACCTTCCGTCCAAGGCTGGAGCCCTGTGTTTATTTACCATGGGCTGTGTTTCGGCCCACACCACAGGCCAAGGACGGTGGCTCCGCAATAGGTACTGCTGACCAAGGCTGCAACATGTTCCAAGGTAGTATTCCCTTGCTACCTCATTCCCTGTCTTTCTCCTACATTCACATTCATTCATTTAAGAATTTTTTTTTTTTTCTTTTTCTTTGAGACAGAGCCTTGCTCTGTCGCCCATGCCGGACAACCTCTGCCTTCCAGGTTCAAGCGATATCCTGCCTCACCCTCCCGAGTAAAAGTCTGCTAGAAATTTGAAAAACAGGCGGGGTACGGTGGCTCACGCTTGCAATCCCAGCACTCTGGGAGGCCGAGGCGGGGGAGGGGGGAATCACCGGAGACTAGCCTGGTAAACATGGTGAAACCCCATCTCTACTAAAAAAAAAAAAAAAAGCCAGGCGTGGTAGCTCACACCTGTAATCTCACCTACTCGGGTAGCTGAGGCAGGAGAATGGCTTGAAACCCAGGGGGCAGAGGTTGCAATGATCCAAGATCACGTCACTGCACTCCAGACTGGGCAACAGAGTGAGACTCCATCTCAAAATATACATCTTTACTAGATATATGCACACACATATATAGCAAAGATGGGAGTTTCCCTATTTTGCCCAGGCTGGAACTCCTGGCCTCAAGCAGTCCTTCCACTTTGGCCTCCCAAGTGCTGAGATTACATCATGAGTGACTGTGACTGCTGAACAACTATTTATCAAGTGCTAGGTGCTGGCTGTATCATGAAGTCCCTGGCTTAACTGTCTTCCACCTATTAAATGACCCCAGATACTTCTAAACCAGGGGTAAAACAAGGTGTAGAGAAATATTAAAACCAAAAAGAGCAAGGCTAGCCTGTCACAGATATTGATTGTTCCAGTGGGGCCAGCCTGTAAACAGAAGGAAAGCTATTGCAAGCATGAAATGCCTGGAGGTGAACAAACAGCCCTGTAGAAGTAAGAGGTTTTTGCTAGAGAAATAAAAATAGGAAGAAACAAAATGTGCCAACGTTGAATAAATTACTGTAGGTGCCTATATGACTATGTGTATACCTGAAGAGAAAAAACAAGAAAGCTTAAATTTAATCCAATTTCCTCCTAGAAGAAAGACTATGGTATCAGAAGAGGAGGTAGTTCAGTACTATTAAAAGAAAAAGGCAGCAGACCCCTTAGAAGATCCCTATTTATTAGCTAAATACAAGATACCCGTTGTAACTATCCAAATAACTTCTGATTTATCCATTCGCTCAACAGTGTTTTTCGTGTACTTAACAAAATATTTAGTATGTAATAAATTTCAGGCACTGTAGTAGGTTCTGATATACAGTGCTGAACCAGACAGATGAAGTCCCTGTTCCCACAGAACTTCATAAGAAACACTTCACACCCACTTGAATGGCTATTATCAAAGACAAAGGCAAGAGTAAGTATCGATGAGTGGTGGAGAACTGCAACCCTTGTACCTGGCTGGTGGAAATGTAACATGGTGCAGTTGCTTTGGAAAACAGCCCCACAGTTCCTCAAAAAGATTAAATGTGTAACTCGATCAAGTAGTTGCAGGTGGGCAAAAAAAAAAAGATTAAATGTGGAGTTACAATATGACCCAGCAATTCCACTTCTACCGAGGTATAGTTCCAAGAGAAAGCAAAACACGGTCAGGCACAGTGGCTCATGCCTGTAATCCCAGCACTTTAGGAGGCCGAGGTGGGTGGATTGCCTGAGGTCAGGAGTTTGAGACCAGCTTGACCAACTTGGTGAAACCCCATCTCTACTAAAAATACAAAAATTAGCAAGGCGTGGTGGCAGGTGCCTATAATCTCAGCTACTTAGGAGGCTGGAGAATTGCTTGAGCCCATGAGGTGGAGGTTGCTTTGAGCCGAGACTGGGCCATTGCATTCCAGCCTGGGTAAAAAGAACGAACCTCCATCTCAAAAAAAAAAAAAAAAAAAAAAAAAAAACACCACACACACACACACACAGAAAGAAAAACATATGTCTGCGGAAAAACTTGTAGGTAAATGTTCAAAACAGCATTATTCAAAAGGGCCAAAAAATGGAAACAACCCAAATGCCTGTCAATTGATGAAGAGGTAAACCAAATGTGGTATATCTATACAATGAAATATTATTCAGCTATAAAAAGGAATAAAAGACTGATTCAAACAACATGGAAGAATCTTGTAAAATCATATTAAATAAAAGAAGCCAGCCATAAAAGACCATATATTGTGTGATTTCACTTATGTTAAATGTCCAGAGTAGGCAAATCTATAGAGACAGAAAGATCAGTGGTTGCCACGGCCTGGGGTGAGGGGAGGATGGAAAGTGACTACTAATAGGTTTCTGTTTGTATGTATGTATCTATGTATTTATTTATTTATTTTCAGACAGAGCCTTGCTCTGTCACCCAGGCTGGAGTGCAGAGGCATGATCTCAGCTCACTGCAACCTCTCTCTCCTGGGTTCAAGCAATTCTTCTGCCTCAGCCTCTCTAGTAGCTGGGATTACAAATGCATGCCACCACGCCAAGCTAATTTTTGTATTTTTAGAAGAGATGGGGTTTTACCATGTTGGCTAGGCTGGTCTTGAACTGCTGACCTCAGATAATCCGCCTGCCTCGGCCTCCTAGAGTGGCTGGGATTGCAGGTGTAAGCCACCATCCCCGGTACAAATTTTTGTATTTTTTAGTAGACCCGGGGTTTCACCTTGTTGGCCAGGCTGGTCTTGGACTCCTAACCTCAGGTTATCCACCCACCTCAGCCTCCCAAAGTGCTGAAATTACAGGCATGAGCCACCACGCCCAACCTGTTTCTGTTTTGTTTTTCTTTAATTTTAATTTTTAATTTGCGTGGTTACAAAGTAGGTGTCTTTCTGTTTTATTCATTTATTTCTTTAGAGACAGTCTCACTCTGTCACCCAGGCTGGAGTACAGAGTGCCATGATCTCAGCTCACTGCAACCTCTGCCTCCCAGATTCAAACAATTTTCATGCCTCAGCCTCCTGAATAGCTGGGCTATTTCTTTTTTTTTTTTTTTTTTTT